GATAGAGGGAAACAGATTGAATTGTAGATTAATCTGGGACCTGTCTCATGCTTCAAATGACCTTATGGCCAGGTCTATTAATATGCAATAAGGAAGTCAGCAGCCTTTTCTGATTCTAAATCAGGTTACTCAGGTTTGTAGAGCAGAGGCCAGTGCTTTCTGATCAAAAATGTTTTTACTTTAAATTTTTTTTTTTCCCAGGGATGGTTTTTTTGGGTTGAATTTCCTTAGCTCCTTCACAGGGAAGAGTGAAGTTGACCTGAGGTGGTTGGGTTGGAGTCTATGACCACTGTCACAGAGACAGTGAAGGTCAAGTACCTGGTGTGAGGATCGGATAAAGGGCAGCACTTGGCAAGGTACCAGGGAAGAGCCAGACCTCCCAGACTGGGCCAGCCTCAGCCTCTGGAAGGCACATCTGTGATCAACATAGACAGGGAAAGATGAAAGGTGAAACAGAAGCTGCAGACTGTGCCCGATGGGTCTGCAGAAGCTCAGTCCCGTTGTTACTGAACCAAACTGGGATCTGCTTACAACTGTCGCAGCAAAGCCAAATGCTGAAGCTGAGAGTTGTGGGGGGTTAGGGAGGAGGCTTTATCACAGGGTGCCAAGCAAGGAGTACAGTCTGCTAACATTTAATACTCAGAGTATCGGATGGCTTACATGCCCAGGTGTTTTAAAGACAGGAGTGTATTAAGAGCAGGCAAAATTGCAAATCAGTATGTAGAGGTTACATGGTGGCCTGGTCCAAAAGGGCCAGGCGTGGCTTAGGTAAATTCAGAGATTCTTGAATTAGGGGGAAAGGAATGTTTAGATGGGTATAATGGGTCCCTCAGGGTGAAATTTACAGCAATCAAGAGTTCAATTCCCCCACTTCTCCGGTATCTGCATTTTCCATCCAGTGGGTGTTTCTTAAAAAATGACAGAATTTATGCTTAAGTTTCCATAGGGCACCAAAACTCCTTGGGAGTGTCGCTTACCTGGATGACCATTGTTATTCCCATTTATATTTTAAGTCTAGCTGGGTGCCTGGAACACTCCCTGGAGGAACTCAAGATTTATTTATTTATTTATTTATTTGGCCGGGGCTGGGTTTGAACCCGCCACCTCTGGCATATGGGGCTTGTGCCCTACACCTTTGAGCCATAGGCACCACCCCATATTTTTTTTTTTTAATTTCCATGTTAGGGGACCTAGCCAGCCCCTGGGAGGGTCTCTGCTCCATGTCACCGTGGGTCCCCAGGAGTGCCTCTGTCCTAAGATACAGTACATTTGACAGTGCCAACAAGCGCAGATGGAGCAGCCAGGTGGAGGGCACATGGCTGGCAGTTACTGTGTACAAGACTTTATCTGCAGCATATCACAGCTAGTGATGGTAGTGACCTGTTTACAGACAAGTTAGGGCTCAGTATGTGTTAGAAAATTTTCCATGTAGTATTTAAATTTTTAAGGTTTAAAATATTTTAAAACTCTGGCAAATTTCAAAATGACTCATTCCCTAAATATTCCAAATAGACATTGCATTTTGTGTTTGAAAAGTATTTCCTTCTTTCCAAAGTGTGTCTGTAGATATCACCCTTGTGACTGTTACAACACTGCTCCAAGAAGGGCAGGGTTTTTTGTTGTTTTCTTTTCTGTTTTTCATTTATCTGCATTTTACATGTAAGGGATTTGAGACAGAGATTAAGCATCTGACTGAAGTCACCCAGCTGGCTGGTGGCAGACAGGGAAGGGTATACAGATGTCCCGATTTCTAGCTTTTGCCATCACATTTTAGTACAAAATCATCATCCTATTGCTTTCACATGTGGTTGTCTATGGCCCTGAAGAGTGAGTGTGAAAAATGTTCATGAAGAAGAGCAGTTTATTTTTTGGTCTTTTCCACAGTGCTGCTCTCTTCTAAGAAATCTGCTTTTTATCTGCTACATAAACATCCCTTGTAGGCACTTTTGATGGTTAGTCTTAGAGTAAAAGAAAGTGTGTTTGGATATTTTTTTTTTTTTTTTTGCAGTCTTATAAAAGTACTTATTTGGTCTTCAATCCAGCTTCCTGGTGTATAATTCCTAACATCCCTGGAATCTCCAAAGTGATATCTTTTTGTTGCTAATGTGTTGACTGAGGGCTGGCAGCCTCCAGGTAGCTTCTGGATGGGGGTCTGGTCACTTGAAAGACAAAGGCAGGATTAGAGGTGAAGGCTTTCAGTCCCACCCTCTCCAGCCACCCTTCTCACCTCTCCCTGAAGGTTAAGTTGATCACCAGTGGCCGATGGTTTAATCAGTCATGCCTATGTAATGAAGCTTCCGTAAAAACTCAAAAGGAGTTCAGGAAGTTTGGGAAGCTTCCAGAAAGCTGAACAGGTGGAGATTCCTGCAGGGTGGTGCACCAGGAAAGGGCATGGAAGCTCCACCCACTTCCAACATGTCTTGTCTTCTGTAATTTTTCATCTGTATCCTTGTAATATCCTTTATAATAAACCGATAAATGTAAGTCATTTATTTCTGTGAGCTGCTCCAGCAAGTTAATCAAAGCTAAAGAGGGAGCTTTGGGAACCCCAAGTTGAAGCTGGTCAGTCAGAAATTTTGGAAGCTTAGACTTGATTCTGGGGGTAGCATTCGTAGGGACTGAGCTCTCTACCTGTAGGGTCTGGCACTATCTCCACGTAGGTGTCAAAATTAAATTGGAGGACACCCAGTTGGTAACTGCTACAGATGGCTTGGTAGTGGAGGGAACCATCCATGTACATTTGGTCACACTAGTCTCTTGTGTTGATCATTGTTGAGTGAAGACAATAGAAAAAATCACTTTGGGTTTGTATGTGAGTTTTTCTACACTTTGTTTTGCCTTTCCTGAAAGAGTGGACCTGAAATTTCTCAAGCATGCCTCATTATTCTCTAAGCATTTTTTGTTCTGTTGTGGCAGCTCTGAGTATAATCAAAGATATATTTGTGTCACCAGCCTTTCTCTCTTTGTCAGGAATTGGAGTAAGATTCTGAGATCTTATGTGACAAAGAACAAAGGGAAAAGACACTTTAAAGAAATTAATTGAAAGATAACTTAGAAATCTAAGGAGAAGCCTGAAGGGTGGTAAATCAGTGGAATCACAAAATCCTTCTTTTGTTTTGGAATGAACAGTGCATACAATTCATGTATGTGACATGTGGATGATTTCTAAAAAAAAACGAAACACCTTGTTTTTCTATAAGATCATTAACAATTATTAAGGGAATTTACTGCAGCATCTTTATAACCACATCCTGACAGCATGCCTGTGATGCCCTGCACTTGTGAGGGCAGTGGTTATATATGCTGCGAGGCTAAGATGTTTAAGTTTGAAGGTTGCCAAGTGAGGTGACTTATGCTTCTTATTACTGCCTGAGATGTGGTAATTGGCTGGAGGCTGCAGGGATGATGATCTCATCCCATTACATTTCAAGGCAACTGTGCTAGTGAGAGCCAGGCTGCTATTCCCTAGCGATAGTCCATTTTCACATCTCATTCATAATTGAAGTGAGTGAGGGTGATTTTTTTTTTTTTTTTTGCCCATTATAAGAGGTGGTTGTATCAGATCTCCAGTGGCCTACCAGAGTTCTCATATATTTACAACTGAACAACTGTAACCTAGTAGCATAAGATCTGTTACTCAGTTAAGAGCAAGTTCTACAAGGGAGAAAAGAGGAGGAAAATGTTAAACTTCTAGTCCAGAAAAGCTAATTTGAGAAATGCTGGTGCCCTCCGGTCTGACATAGTGTCCTCAGAGCTTTTGGACCCTCCTGATCAGACTTGACTGTAACACAACACTTACTCTTGGGGTTCCACATCCTTGATTGTGTCCTGTGTCTCCTCCGGAGGAGAGGAAGCATTTTAAGGCTCTTGGAATGAAAGTCTCCTCTGATGGTGTCAAATATACTGATGAAGTGAGCCTGGTTTTAAAAATATCCTTGGCATGACATCTGACATTTAGTATTATCATTTTTGCATTTGTACAGGTGGTTCCAAGAAAGAAATCACTGAACACTGGGAATGGCTGGAGCAGAATCTGCTGCAGACGCTCTCCATCTTTGAAAATGAAAACGATATCACCACGTTTGTGAGAGGAAAAATACAGGTAGTGGTTTGATGTTTTTTTTAACAAAATTGTTTTAATTGGAAATAATTTCAAATTTACAAAAACATTGTAGACATAAGAAATGTATAAAACATACTTGTATCCCCTTCATCTGGAGCTACCATTATGTTTGTTTGTTTGTTTGTTTGTTTTGAGACAGAGTCTTACTATGTCCCCCTGGGTAGAGTGCTGTGGCGTCATAGCTCACAGCAACCTCAGACTCTTAAGTGATTGTCTTGCTTCAGCCTCCCAAGTAGCTGGGTCTACAGGCACCCACCACAATGCCAGGCTATTCTTTTTGCAGTTGTCATTGTTGTTTAGCTGGCCCAAGCCGGGTTTGAGCCCGCACCCTCAGTGTATGTGGCTGGTGCGGTAACCACTGTGCTACAGGTGTAGAGCCAAGGATCCACCTATTGTTGACATCATACCCCATTTTTCTATCAGTTGTGTGCTGGATTCCTCTCTATTTGACAGGAATTTTCTCCTAAGTAATATTTTCTGAGAGGGATAGTCTATTGAATAATAATACTATATTTACCAACTGTACTATTTAACACTATGCATAAATTTAGCATTATACTTTAATTATACATTAACACTATACTTTAATATTTGGTACACATTTCAGTTATGTTAATTGTTCCCATTTTGTTATTTACAGCCCCCCTTCCCAGCCCAGTGTAGTTGCAGTACAGGATTCATTTCCTTAATCTCCTTCCATCTTATTCAATATTTCCATAGCCTTTCTTTGTCTTTTATGACGTGAATGTTTATGAAGTACAGTTCTTTTCTCTTTTCTCTTTTTATTAGAATACTTTTTGTTTGGAGTTTTGTCAGAGGTTTCCTTCTGATTCAATTCAGATTTTTCATTCTTGGATGGACTACCATGTGGGTGATTTTGTGTTCTTCTCACACTGTCATTTCTTGAGGTACCTGTTATTCATCTGCCTGGTGCTGGTGTTGTAGACACAGTTAGGGGGTTACCCACTTTCTCCCCTGTAGAGTTACTAATTTTGCCTCTGCAAGTAATAATCTTCTGTAGGAAAATACTTTAAACTACACAAATAACCTGTTCCTTACCCAAATTTCCCTTTTAATTTAGCATCCATTGATGACTTTTTGTCTGAACCAATCTTTGCTGTGATAGTTTACAAAATGGTAATTTTACAAAATGATGGTTTTCCTATTCCAGCACTCTCCCACATTGGCCATTTGGCAACTATTATTCTACTGTAAGCAAGAACCCTCTTTTCATTTATTGATCTGTTGAGTATTGATACGGACTCATGAGTTCCTATGTTTTTCAGTTGTTTACATTTCATTACTGGATTTAATTATTTTTGTATGTGCACTATTCCAGTTTAGCTAGAGGGAGCTCCTCCTATAAATCGCCTCCTTTGTCCTTGTTGCAATTGCCTTTATTTTTTTAAATTCTTCTTTATTTCTGGTATAACAAGGTGTTCTGGGCTCATCTTGTACCTTCCCTCTCCCATTTGTTTCCATTCGCTTTTGGTTTCAGGTTCTTTCTCCTTCCTAGTTTTGTTCATTTTATTTTCCTTTTTAAATACAGCGAATATTTATATGCATCTAACGGCCCCAAAGCATTATTCTCTTCTGTATCCCCACCAACCTATTAGTTCTAATTTCTCATGATCAACTTCATTATTATCTGATTTATACTTCCTACATTTCTTTTCATAAAAATAAGCAGATGTATGTATTTTTCCCATTTCCCTTTCATTCTTATAGATAAAGCCTCACATAGGCGAGCTGGTCTGAATTCTGCTTTTTTCACTTACTAGATCCCAGATAACACCC